TAGATTATTTCGATTTACTTCGAACTTCTTCGAACACTGTTCGATGAAAAGTTCGCTAATATTAAATTTCAATTGCATATTATTCTAAAGGACAAGTCCATCCCTTTAGAATGGTCTTTATTTGAAAGAAATCGGCATAATAGTTATTGAAGTTAAAGTACTTTAAATTCATTTAAATCAGAAAAAAATTATTTAGTCCAAAGTGTTTATTGAATTTTTTTTTGGTGCATTTGATTTATCTCACTGAGACGAACAAAATGATATATAATTTGTCAATTTGTCAATTTTTTTGTCGCCCTGTGTAATGAAAAGTAAAATAAATCTTGGCACTTTGTTTGTAACACTATATTTGATAACGGCTGTTGATTGGTCTAATTTGTATTTCATTTCACTTAAAATAAAAAAATATATTAAACAAATTCTTCGTTATACACGCATTTTAATTTTTTTATGTGTATTTTGCATGTACGTGGAAGTATAACAATAAATGAAAGCTATTTGAAATACTATTTGAAGAAAGTATATCATGAGCGGAAAATAAAACTACTTAGTCCTTTTTTCTGTACATTCTCGTCCTACTGTGGTTGTATTATTATCCCTATAATTTGATAATGTTGGTCTTTTATTCTCCTTTGTGGCGCAATTTTCTCGTCTCACAATAATCATCCGCCACCGCGTCCTCTATAATTTTTTCCACATCCTGTTGAGTTTTTGCGTGCCAAAGCATAAATTTGTATATATTCCACGACGTCTCCTAAGTGACATCATTAAAAACACAAAGAAAATCAGATGCCTGTGCACACAAAAGCAATCGACCTCCAATCTACCCACAAAGAATGTATCCCACTTTTTTCATTTCGCCATCTTTCCCCCAACGAAAGAAACGCGTTTTTCGTGATTAATCGCAGCGGAAAAGACAAAAGCTCGAGGAATTAGATCGGCCAAACAAAGAGCTTCCGACTCCACTTACAGTCATTGATAAATGCGTATCTGCCGGTGAAGAGGTCACTCGTCGAGACGTTCTTGTCGGTGTAGAAGGCGAGCGCGATGGCGCGGTATAAAGACACCCTTCTTCTGGGTCGAATCGGCCCACAGTACCGACCACCAAACGGAGAGTTGATCAGCTCGGCGGCGTCGGGTTGGACCACTTCGGAATATACATCCATGTACTCATGGACACAGCTGCACAAAAAAAACACAATCAAAATCCATCAAACTCAAGCCCAAGATTTGCCAAGAAAGCCATACAGCATGCACATGCAAAAAATCAATTTATCATAAAATTTAATCTGACGAAATTTGACAATATTTCATTCTATTATTAATTCACTTATTGCATGTGAGAAAATATTGGACGACCATTATGTTATATTTCATCGTAACTGATTACCTGTCAATAATCGTTGCGGCTATCTAAACAGATGATCGTGTCGTGATACCGCTAAAAATAAACTTTTTGCCACATATTTTTTCGTTACATCGGCGATCTATTTATAAAGTTGTTGATCAATTTGTTTCCTAAATAATAAAAGAAATAAACGAGGCCTGCTCCAATAATAAAACTGGTCATTAATTTCCTAGAGTGAGTAATTAATTCAAAACGTTTTTACACAAAACCAAAATAATTAACTCGAGAAATATACATATTAAAACCAAATAATTATATGTAATTACGAACATTATATAAGCTCATAGAATTCAAAAACTACATAAATAACTCTATAGCTCATGTTTTGTAGAAAACACCAAAGACAGAAATACAAAAAACAAAAGTGCAAACATGTACTCATCAAAAGCTACCTAAATATTTTAGAAAAAAATAAAGTGAATAAATAAATGTTAGTTATGAAAGAAGAGATAAAAATGTTTTGAACATGGTTAATGTAGGTACTAATCTATCTACAATAAAATAGTTTTGTAAAGCAATAATTGAATTGAAAGACCATAAAATTTGAGATTAAAAGTACTTATCGAATTAAGTTTATATTACAATACGATACTACCGTTCATGCACCACAATAAAATATTGAACATTGATTCAGTATGACACATGTAAACATCGTGCACAATACATACCAAATCCAATAAAAGAGTCATACGATACCAATTGAGAATTTAGGAAAATGAAAAATCTAATTAAAGCAACATAAAAGCTAAAAAGAAAAAAAATCCAGGTCTCATGCATTTTTTTCTTTTCAATTTACGATGCAAATTGAGTGAATTTAAAAGAGGTCACGTTTTATAATAAAATTTTATTATTTGTTTTAAGAAGGAATTTATGAAAAATAATGAAGTGGTGAGATGTGAAGAAGTTTCGTTTTACATTCAGGAATTTAGTTTGCAGTTTATTTGATACCTCTTTAATTATTTTATTATTCTGTAAATAAAAACTTGCAAGCAAAGCTGAATCTTTTCAATTTTTTTGTTGAAATTTGGAAATGCCAGTTTGTAGAATATTTACTCATTAAATGATATCGTAGTGTCGAACATAAATCTTTCGGTCTTCTCTTTGTTCATCCATAACCCAAGAAAAGGTCAACCCAGGGTCAGCTATAGTTCAAAGTTTAGTGTTTTCAATAAGAACTTTTGTGAAAAGTCGTTTCAAACTGTAACTTAATCACAACTTTGCCATCTGCCTGTCTTGTATTCCACCTACCTGTTTTACAAACGGCATTAAAAATTGCAAAAAAGCACATATATAGAGAGATAGATGTGTCGAGAAGAAAAAGCAATGCTATAGTGCAAACTAAGAAAAGCAAACATCGAACCAGTGAGTAGTTCAGGTGGTACTCACGCAGGGAGGTCTCCCACGGCAGCTCCACTGTGGCAGCGGCAACGGCAACGGCAACACAAGAACGATCAGTCAACGGCACGTGCCACGCCACTGGCAATCCGCACGTGCAACGCACTTCTACCACGCACTCTGCACGTAAACGGCTAACGGCAAGCTTTCGATGTACTCAATCTTTGTGATGCATTATACTGAGATTTAACAGACAAATTGCGCCAAATGCACCGGAAATGGCAACAAGGCGCCCTCGAGAATAAATCGAAGGAGATTTAATGCTCAACTGCAACGGTTTTAGATGACACATCGGGAAACAAGAATAGTCAAAGTCAAAAAATCCTAGAGAATTTTTAAACGCTTTCTTTATTCTTGGGTAGACAAATATCAAAAGTCTCCGAAAGTGGGGGGCGAGCTCGAGGAGAGGAAGGGGGCTAAAGGTGCCTTTTTTTGTTTTTTTGCTTATATCTCGGAAACTATTATTCCTAACGGTTTTTGCCTGCTTATCAAAATTAAAGCCTTTCCTACAAAAATGGTCCTTTGCATTTTGTTATAGGACTCACCATAAGTGAGTTATAAGGCTGACAAGAAAACATCATTTAAAAAAATGTGCTTTATCTGCATTTAAAACAGTATTAATCTTGTGATTCGAAAAAACTGAAAGCAAATTGAATTTATTGGGTGCAACACTTCATTATAGAGTCTGTAAAGTCTTCCGAGTCGTCCTCATATGCTGCAACTTCGTCTTCAACTTAAACATTGAAAACCGAATTACAGTCTTGTTCAGTACAATATTAATAAATAGATGAGTTAATATCGATGATTTGAATAAAGCTTACAGTAAATTGAATGTATTAGATCCAACAGTTTATTAGAGGGTGCCACGAGGGTCTATTAGGTCTTCCGAGTTATTCTTATATGCTGAACTAGCATTTGCCTGCGATTTTGTCCACGTGTATTTATGATATAAAATGGGAAAAAGCCCGTTCACAAAACCATTCCATAGGCTTACGTACTCTATAAAGCTAGATAATTACCTATGTTATGTATAGGATTCAGTTATAGTCGTCTCGTTCTTCGCATGGGCTATGTTTATGGATAAATATTAAATGTTGATTTTCATAAAGTGTCGTCTCAGTGTACTTCTACACTCTCAAAATTCGAAATTTCATGTTTCTAATTTTGTTTTTAAGCGTTTAAACTCTATTTTATTTAATTAAAATTTGAAAAGTGCACTTCTACACTCTCTAAGGATAATATTTTCTAAATTTAATGTTTTTATATACCTTTAAATGTGTACACCGTTTTATTCCCTTAAAAACTAATTTTCGAAAAATCTGATTTTAGTGCCCCTTTACACCTCTAAAGAATGTTATGTTTATATCTTTGTTTAAACATTTACACCCCATTTAACTCCCTTACAGATTGATTCTCTCTTTCATCCAAAATTTTATTTATATCTCCGTTTAAATGTTTACACCCGAGTCACCTTTCAGCCAGACCAGCTACACATACAGGGTGAATATAAATTATGGAACCCAGCGGTTTTATTTTTGATCATTTGCCTCCAGAAAATAATAATTAACATAAATTAAAGTAATATAAAAAATGTGATCGTATTTTCAGAACGAAATTTTGTTTTGTTGCAATTGCAAAATTGCAATTTATGTGAAAAATTTGTTTTGAAAAAATTAAATATAAAGCAGATTGTTGTAATCCTTAGAGTATAGCTTTTATGAGAAAAATGATTTTATAGTGGGTTGCCATTTAAAAAAATATTTTTTTTTGTAGAACTCAAAAACAAAAGGAAATTTCGAAAAATTTTATTCTTGTTAAATCATCACATTTTTATAGTACTTTATCACTCATCAATTAGTTTTTTCAAAAAATAAATAGTTTAAACAAAAAACGTTTGGTTCCAATGCTTTTTATTCACCTGGTATACATACTTACCATATACTAATGAAATGTGTTTCAAATGATTTTTAATGCAATTTTATGTAGCTCCAAACTTTTGAAGCCTACGGTTAGTCCTACGACAAAAATGAATAGGACCATTTTTGTAGGAAATTTTGATGCAGAAATAGACTTCTACAGAAAATTCTACATAAATTACATAAACGATGAGTTTGTATTTATAGACCCTCGTGACTCCCCCTTCCTTTAATGAAGTATTGGACCCAGTAAAATCAATTTACTGTCAGTTTTTTTTTAAAATTACAAGACTAATTCTGTTTTAAATGCAGATAAAGCACATTTTTTTAAATGATGTTTCTTTTCTGTCCTATAACTCGCTTACGGTTAGTCCTATAACAAAAATGCAAAGGACCATTTTTGTAGGAAATTTTGTAAGCTTTAATTTTTTTAAGAAGATAGGAGTGATAAAAAATATATATAAGCAAAAAAACAAAAAAAGACACCTTTAACCCCCTCCCCCTCCTCGAGCTCGCCCCATACCTTCGGGGACTTTTGATATATGTCTATCCAAGTATAAAAAAAGCGTTTAAAAAAATCCAACTCTCTAGGATTTTTTTCCACCGATTTGTCTAATTTGACTGGGCTAAAGCATAAAAACAATTTTTGCATCAAAAGCTTCTCGTTTCCCTTTCACTCAGACGTTTCTTAGTCTTGTAAACTCTTTAACATTTACAAACCGTCCTATATTACCGATTACCATGGCACAACCACAAATACAAATGCCTTGTGTTGCTACACCAACAACTACGATTAGAAGCCCAATAAGTTACAATTCAGTACAGCCTACAGCCTAGACCACTCCATAGGGCGGTGTTGGTGTTCACAATCATTACCTTAATGCTCTATTTTAAAGTTTCGTAAAAATAGAGCACGATTAGTACAATTGGATGGAAAGAAAAGGTTTTAAGTGTTGCTCCACCCAACTGTACTTTCAAATTACGACATTGTAAACCTCACAGTTTTGGGTGAGTTGGGGTTTACGTACTCAGGTGGTGCCCCTCTGAGGTTGAACGAAGTGAAAACGATTTCGACACGCTGGCCAAGACCAGCCAAGAAAGTGTAAATGCACTGGCGCGAGTGTCCTCGAAGATTGACGAACTCTGGTGCTTGGAAGGTGCCGTTCATAGGACCTCCTGGTCTGCTTACGAATGTCTGGTCACACTCTAGAACAATGAACGGATTGGTTAAATCAATAATCATTCAGGTAATAGGTAAAACAGCGAAATAATTCAGTACAACGTGATCAATACAAGACTTCCGGTTAAGCAATGGTCATTTTCTAATTTATTAACTGACAAAGTTAAGGAATGTACTTTCCGGCCATTAATCGGACCCCAGAGATAATATTTTCACACTAATGCACCTTAACTTTGGGCAAATTTCATTTGCATGATGAAGGAGATTATATCTGGGAGAATTATTGTAAGTTGCATTTAAGTGTTTTGGACCGATGCCATTGTAAACGATCAATGGCCATTCTGGACGCACGCCATGGGAATGTAACATTGTATGAAAAGTATAAAAGTCTCGTTCGTTATTATTCCGGTAGTTTGCTATACATAAATTTTTCTCACTAACGACTTTTATTGATATGATTTTGACACTTTCACATATGGGAATTTAAGAATAGAATAACGAGTTTAACTTTGATGGAAAAAAACATTTTTTTAAACTGCTTTCAACAAAATCAGATCGAAGTGATAGTTTGACCTTTCAAACGTACTTAATAAAAAAAAAATATATATTCATTCGTGGAAGAAGAAACGAGATGGTACATTTGTGAGACTTCGGGTGAAACTAATGAGACTTTTTGTTTTAATCTCAAAGCAACATTGACGAAATTTGTCACATTGTTTGATGATTACTATTAAAATTGTAGAAGTCGATCCATTTTCGTCCCAAAGTGGATGTTATATAGTTTAAACAGTCAGTAATATTAAAGTCGACTCCACAAATCGATAAATTTTATTTATTCAAGTTGGGACATGTTTCTGCACCCTTGCGCCATCATCAGCAGAAAATTGTTACACTTTAAAATAAAAATTTACAAGATTAAAAAATTGAAATGTTCACTGTTAAAAATTTTTCCTGATTATAACCAATGGAAAAATATACAGAAGGAATAGGATTTAAACATTATTCCTCTGTAAAAAAGTAAAAGGACGAGGTCAGTGAAGCTGAAGACTTTTTTTTTGGAGAACGTTCTGATGTGATGGCGCAAGGGTGCCGAAACATGTCCCAACTTGACCAAATAAAATTTATCGATTTGTGGAGTTGACTTTAATATTACTTACTGTTTAAAAAAAAAGATTATTATTAAGACTATTAAAAAAACTATTAAAATTACTATTCGCGGTAATTATTACTGCAAAATATTTACTGAAGTTCAATTATTCATATAATAATGCAAATGTTGAGTGCTCTGCATTTGTGGTGGGATTTAATTTGACAGAGTTATTTATTTATTTCATTAAAGTGCATTATACAGCAAATTATAAAATTACGCAACTGTGAGGCAAACAATTTTATCAGATATCGTATTACCAGATTTTCTATATTTTTTTCTCTTTTAAGAAAATAGTCAAAAACAGATGAGCTGTTAGAAATGTATTCAATATGTTCTTTGTGTCTAGAAAGCCGGAATTTATTGATTGATGTGAAACAAAGATATCGCAATTAAAAGTTTAATTAAAAAGGGCCATTTCTAGTAAGATTACATTTATATTAACTTATTAGAAGTAATATGTGATATTTTCAATCAGGCCAATTTTTTTCTAGTTTTTACACAATAAATATCCACACGTATAATTGTATTGCTACATCCATTATGTGTTTTAATAAAAAATAATACGTAACGTCTCTTGCATGTAATCGTACATAAAAGACTATTCAGAAACCCTATTCATCATTCCCGTAACAAACAGTTCCATTTGTCTTTGTCCTCGCTTTTTAATTGTAAAAAATGAAATTTTTATCTCTGGAATATGCTTCTAGTAGATGAAGAAAAGTTTTTCGTCCGCTTTAATACCGCTTATTCCTTGCATAATTTTACTAGGTGTGAATATCTCGAAACAAAAGATTTGCATGCAGACTTAAATTCATTTAAACTTTTAATACGTTTTAACAAGAAAACTTTTGCGTTTTATGTCATGTAAAATAAAATTGCTTTGTCGGAAATAAATGGCGATTTAAAGATGTTCCAAAACTTTCGACTTTAGATTCCCTTTCGAGGTATATTTAATTTTTTTCAGCTCGGCTTATTATCGCTTTGTAGTGTTGACTGCGGAAAGACTACCATGATGATAAAGCAATTTCAAAGCGACTGTTGTCGTTGCAAAATCGTTTTAATTATAGTGGTTCAACTCATTGAAATTCCGGGATGTAGCAAGAAGCAATATAGGAGTTTCATGTATACCCTGTCAGTGTTCAAGGGTGTAATCGGGTCACGTGTTGGAGGGGTGACTGATATTTTAAATATAGAACAGAAATGATCGGGTTTTAAGGCGACAGACGAGCGAATTACTTTCGCAACCAAACACCAGAGGGCCACTTGAGCGCTTGTACTTTAAAGCTTCCGCGTTGCGAGCTATTCGATATATTTAAGTAATTTTCAGGATGAAGAGCATTCCTCTTGAATGTGCTGATGTAGAGCAGAAATGCGTTTACCCAGACAATTTCCTCAAGATGGCGATCTTTAACGCCTCGAATACCTATGGCAACTGTGTATACTGTCTGCAGATATTTCCTCAAATCTCACATTTCTTAACAATCGTCTTCGCTTCTTATTTATTACTCTTCACAAGTTTTGTTTTGTTTATAGCCGTTTTCAACTGAATATTACAAAATAAATGTTCAAAAAGTTTAAAATGTTCTTTAAATTTATCGACGGAAACAGGTCACTTTTTTCCAGATTAATTCTAAACGTACTTTTAATTAGTTATTTGCCGTTTCAAGTAACGAGCTTTTGTGAAAAATATGAGCGCTTTTCATTCAGTAGTTTTAACTTTCCAGCAACCATTTTATAGATACGTTGAGTATTATTTCATCGCTTTTGTGTTATTATGTTTATTTCAGTGAAATAACAAGCTTAGAATTGCTGGTAGTTAATGTAATAAGTAGGGTGCAAATAATAGTTATATAATAGGGTAATGTCAGAAATAGTTATAATTTATCGTTGTAATGTTCAGGAAGATAGTGGGTAGGTCGGCTTTGGTGAAAGACAATTGTCGCATTAAAATACAATTATTTTTATTATATTTTTTGACATTTTTATATCTATTTAATGATACTGATGATCTTGTATATGTTTTTTTACAATTATTTAGTAAAGGGACAAAAATTTTGCCAATAAAAGCCACAAATAACATTAAACAGAGTGAGTTACAATTTAGGATACAGCTTCCTTGTTTCCTCTTTTAATAGCCTATAGCAACAAAATTTGGAAAATTATTTTTTCAACAGAAATAAATAGTGTCAAAGTGCAAACTTTAAACCCTCATAACTTCGAAATTTGTAAAGATAAAATTTTTTTAACATTTTTTCCATGTGCCTGGTATCTTGCCTTATATGGAATTTTTCTCTGGGGAGCGAGTTCTGGCGCACTCTGTATAAACAATATTTAAAATTTATAACAAATTGAGAAAAATCCAGCAACGCTTATAGCATATCAGATTTAGTTTTGTATAAAAAAACTCTTAATATTTGATGTTTAATTTATATTTACTTGTACATACTATTTTTTTAAGAATTCTAAATTTACTGTAATTATTTATAAATTTTTACCCGGCGCATCCACCATTTTTGTAGTTCCACTATTTTATAAAAATAATTCTAGATGACTTGAAAATTGTAAAAAAACACAAAATAACCTTAAATAAATAATGATTTGGAAGTAATAATAGTTATTTGCATGTATCAGTGACATTTACTTTTCTAATAGGCACCTAGAGTGCACCCCTGCTTTAAGTCGCCGTCAGCTGAGCAAATAACTAAAAGTTGAGACAATTTCCTTTGGTAAAATTCGATTGATCTACAGGATTGATTGGCACTTTGATTGGACAATTTTATGTCTTTTCAAAGCGTTCGTCTATTTGTCTCCATCTCGCTTTATCTCTCGTCGTTTTTGATACAGGCGTAGAGAAATGAGGATTATATATTTAGCAAATCCTGGCGTTGATTAATTTCATCTAATTTATCTTTAAAGATAACGAACTTTCCAACTGTATCAATTTAATACTTTTACAAATACTTTCAGACGCAGTCTCATCTAATTTCCCCCGAATTAATCGCGGTTTATTTATCAATACCACTGTCAAATCTCCCAAAAAACATATCTCACTTGGATCAATTAATTTGAACGCCCATGAAAAAGTTATCACGCGATTGTATCACTTAATTTAGTTACACGCACACCCGAAATAGAATTCCGGCGTTAATTTGGCAATCGATTGATTTTAATGAGATTTGATGGCAAAATGCAAGAGGCGTGTGTCAAATTTTTCATGCCAGTTTCCAAAGTCATAAGTTCGGAGGTGGCAGGACTTTGCTTGAAGTTGATTCACATGCTACCCCTAGGAAATTTCCAATGCAAACAACATCGCTTCGATATTGGAAAATCTAAGAGTGATTCAGACCCTTTCCGGGAGGCAACACCCGAAATCCCCGCACCTACACTGGCCTTATCTCTTTCTGGGCAAGTGGACACGGAATCATCGCACACTGATTTATAATTAATTACGGCAATTACCGGACCCATGGGACTCTGACACAAATTAATAACATTAGATAAAGTAAATTATTTTTTAAGCAAAGTTTTAAATTTAGTTGACCGGATATAAAAGATTTTAGAAACTATTTCAATACAAATTTTGCGCATGATGTAGGATAGATTAGATTAGAGTTAGAGTGTGGCTATTGTTCGGTGAAACAATTTCGGTTGGGACTCGCTCAAGTTAATTATTTTCATGAAATGGTTTCAGTCGATTTTGTTCAGTTGAATACTTTGCTGCGATTGTATCTCCCTTTTCATATTGCACACAATGGATTTTTAATATTATTAGAGCAGAATAAATTAATTGCGTTTGCCAGCTCAAACTAAATACCAGTCTATTAAAAAAACTTATAAAAAAATAATTAGGTTTTATTTTAGGATATGAAACCACAC